AGTGTGATAATCCCCAATAGGAAAACATCAATTTTACTCAGTCTGTGTTTTGGTATTTGTTTTTTTCCACATCTCTCTTAACTTCCCATGAGACTATCACACGACATTAGCGTTTAGTGTTCCACTTCCACTGCATGCTCATGTCTGTGTGACCCTGCAACAGCTCAGTGAGTGTGTGTGAGCTTCCCTTTCCCAGGTGCAGTTTAGTGAAGTCATACCAGATCAGAGAAAACTGTCCCCCTCTCTCCTTTCTCTTCCTACTTCTCTCGCTTTCTCTCCCTACTCCCTACTCCCCCCCCCCCCCCTCTCCCCCTCTCTCTCTCTCTCAATTCAATTTCGATTTAAGGGGCCTTATTGGCATGGGAAACATACGTTTACATTGCCAAAGCAAGTGAAATAGATAATAAACAAAAGTGAAATAAACAAGAAAGATTTAACAGTAAACATTACACTCACAAAAGTTCCAAAAGAATAAAGACATTTCAAGTATCATATTATGTATATATATATACAGTGTTGTAATGATGTGCAAATAGTTAAAGTACAAAAAGGAAAATAAATAAACATAAATATAGGTTGTATTTACAATGGTGTTTGTTCTTCATTGGTTGCCCTTTTCTTGTGGCAACAGGTCACAAATCTTGCTGCTGTGATTGCACACTGTGGTATTTCACCCAATAGATATGGGAGTTTATCAAAATTGGATTTGTTTTTGAACTCTTTGTGGGTCTGTGTAATCTGAGGGAAGTATGTGTCTCTAATATGGTCATACATTTGGCAGGAAGTTAGGAAGTGCAGCTCAGTTTCCACCTAAGTTTGTGGGCAGTGTGCACATAGTCTGTCTTCTCTTGAGAGCCAGGTCTGCCTACGGCGGCCTTTCTCAATAGCAAGGCTATGCTCACTGAGTCTGTACATAGTCAAAGATTTCCTTAATTTTGGGTCAGTCACAGTGGTCAGGTATTATGCCACTGTGTACTCTCTGTTTAGGACCAAATAGCATTCTAGTTTGCTCAGTTTTTTGTAAATTATTTCCAATGTGTCAAGTAATTACGTTTTTGTTTTCTCATGACTTGGTTGGGTCTAATTGTGTTGCTGTCCTGGGGCTCTGTGGGGTCTCTCCCTCTCGCTCTCTCTAGACTATGGGAACTGCAGGGATTTGGTGCTTATCTATCCCAGCTAAGCCAGACATGTCCTGATCTTATCACCATAATCCAATTCCACATAATTAATCTTAATATCAAAACCGTCTTGCACTTTCAAGTAGCTCTGACAAACATACACTACCGTTCAAAAGTTTGGGGTCACTTAGAAATGTCCTTATTTTTGAAAGAAAATTTGTAAAAATTCTCCATTAAAATAACATCAAATTGATCAGAAATACAGTGTAGACATTGTTAATGTTGTAAATGGCTATTGTAGCTGGAAACGGCTGATTGTTAATGGAATATCTACATAGGCGTACAGAGGCCCATTATCAGCAACCATCAGTCCTGTGTTCCAATGACACGTTGTGTTTGCTAATCCAAGTTTATCATTTTAAAAGGCTAATTGATCGTTAGAAAACCCTTTTGCAATTATGTTAGCACAGCTGAAAACTGTTGTGCTGATTAAAGAAGCAATACAACTGGCCTTCTTGAGACTAGTTGAGTATCTGGAGCATCAGCAATTGTGGGTTGGATTACAGGCTCAAAATGGCCAGAAACAAATAACTTTCTTCTGAAACTCGTCAGTCTATTCTTGTTCTGAGAAATGAAGGCTATTCCATGCGAGAAATTGCCAAGAAACTGAAGATCTCGTACAACGCTGTGTACTACTCCCTCCACAGAACAGCGCAAAGTGGCTCTAACCAGAATAGAAAGAGGCGTGGGAGGCCCCGGTGTACAACTGAGCAAGAGGACAAATACATTAGAGTGTCTAGTTTGAGAAACAGATGCCTCACAGGTGCTCAACTGGCAGCTTCATTAAATAGTACCCGCAAAACACCAGTCTCAACGTCAACAGTGAAGAGGCGACTTCGGGATGCTGACCTTCTAGGCAGAGTTGCAAAGAAAAAGCCATATCTCAGACTGGCCAATAAAAAGAAAAGATTAAGATGGGCAAAAGAACACAGACACTGGACAGAGGAAGATTGGAAAAAAGTGTTATGGACAGACAAATCGAAGTTTGAGGTGTTCGGATCACAAAGAAGAACATTTGTGAGACGCAGACCAAATGAAAAGATGCTGGAGGAGTGCTTGATGCCATCTGCCGAGCATGGTGGAGGCAATGTGATGGTCTGGGGGTGCTTTGGTGGTGTTAAAGTGGGAGATTTGTACAGGGTAAAATGAATTTTGAAGAAGGAAGGCTATCACTTCATTTTGCAACGCCATGCCATACCCTGTGGACGGCGCTTGATTGGAGCCAATTTCCTCCTACAACAGGACAATGACCCAAAGCACAGCTCCAAACTATGCAATAACTATTTAGGGAAGAAGCAGTCAGCTGGTATTCTGTCTATAATGGAGTGACCAGCACAGTCACCGGATCTCAACCCTATTGAGCTGTTGTGGGAGCAGCTTGACCGTATGGTACGTAAGAAGTGCCCATCAAGCCAATCCAACTTGTGGGAGGTTCTTCAGGAAGCATGGGGTGAAATCTCTTCAGAATACCTCAACAAATTGACAACTAGAATGCCAAAGATCTGCAAGGCTGTAATGGCTGCAAATGGAGGATTCTTTGACGAAAGCAAAGTTTGAAGGACACAATTATTATTTCTATTAAAAATCATTATTTCTAACCTTGTCAATGACTACATTTCCTATTCATTTTGCTATATTTCCTATTCAAACTCATTTCATGTATGTTTTCATGGAAAACAAGGACATTTCTAAGTGACCACAAACTTTTGAACGGTGGTGTATGCGCCTCAGCTACTCCCCCAACCAACAGGGTAAGGGTTACAACAGGCATTTGGAGAAATGCCTGACATAGACAAAGTCATTAGACAACTATTGAAGGGTGGAAAAAATACATAAATATATGGGTGCAGATTCAGTATGTAAAGGGAAGAGGAATGTTCTTATGTGCTTTTCTTGGGATTCCTAACAAGTGGTAGCAAGGACAAATATTTACAGAGCAGTGGAGCAGCTAAGCAGAGTTTGTTTCAGGACAGTGGTGGTTCATGTCACTCATTCCATCAGACAGCCACCATGTTTACACAGGTAAACACAGAGAGAGGGAGAACGGTGGGACTGGGTCATCTGACGTGGGTCTAGAGAGAAGTGGGTCTGCTCACTGTTTATGATATCACTTACTGTAGTGGTGACATCCCTAACAAGATTCATTACAGAGCAGCAAACTGTGAATAGACATTTGACTTTTCATTGCTATCTAGTCTGCTAAATACAATATCAGGACCAGGTCTACTTATCATAAAGGTTTGGATAGATTGCTTTAGCATTTTTGATAGTTTGCATAGTCTGTTAAAACTAGATTGTACTGTCATTGTTCCTAGTTATGCACTCTTGTTATGTTTGCTTTTTGAACAAGTTCCTTTTTATTTTCCATGTTCAATTACCATGGAAAGTCACTGTGGTTGAGATGAGAGAAGAGGTGAGTATATGGTATGAAGAAACACCTGAGTAGAGAATTAGCGTGCATTAAATGTGTATGTTCAGCCATCTTGTGAGTGGACATGTCAGCATAGCATAGTACTCTCCATAGCAGTCGGTGCTAGGTCACACATACTGTATGTCTACTGTATTATATCACCCACCCCCCCACAGCAGGGGAGACATTTTGGTAACAGACTGTATGAGCCACCTGTGTGTAATGTATTTATTGTGCTTTCTGTCACTCACAATGCATTGGAAGACTTGCAGTAACCATTCAAAACAGCTTCTTATAGCAGCTGTTATTAATCTATCAATACCTATAATAAATGTATAATGGATTAAACAAATGTGCCTCATAGAAAGAGCGACTTGAGTTTTCAGTCAGCTTTATGCACTAGCATGTGAAATATTCAGAGTTGGACATTCCCAACAGCGGCCCATCCTTGCAATATCCTATTACATCACTAAACCAGGCCTATATATGCAAGTACATCTGCAAATATGATGTGGTTTCTTCAATTCTTCAAAGATGTCTTGGAGAGGCTTGAACGTTTTCATTCATTCATAACACAACAACAACAACAGCCAGATTATCTCAAACATAACGCACCATCTTTTATTATATTTAAATACACAAAGTAATAATTCTCTAGGTAAAAGGTTTCCTAAATTATTTTACATTTCATACATAGGTACTATGTATTGTACTTCATACAGTATACAGTAGCCAAATGCTGTAAATATATTTATGTAGTATATACAGTATGTATATAGTATATCAGTGGATGCTGCTGAGGGGAGGACGGCTCATAATAATTTCTAGAATGGAGTCAATGGAAAGGTATCAACCATATGAAAACCACGTGTTTGATGTGTTTGATGCCATTCCATTGACTTCATTCCAGCCATTATTATGAGCCGTCCTCCCCTCAGCAGCTTCCACTGTAGTATATGTGGTAATCTGGATAATAATATTGACAGACAGTAGTTATAAAGACAGACAGGGGTTAAATAGAATATGTGGTGGTGACATTAAAGAGATAGTTCACCCAAATTACTAAATTACATATTGGTTTCCTTACCCTGTAAGCCGTCTATAGACAATGCATGACAGCAATCCATGCATTGGTTTAGTGTTCCTGGCACTGTTTCCACATGCTAACGTTTTAGCATTTGTGCCACAAATCCCATTAAAGTCATGAGACCGATATTAGCATTTTTCGCGCATCATGTTGAAAACATCTATAAGTGACTTTGTTGAGCTTCACAATCAATTTTAGATACTTTTGGATGATATGGACATGATGCGCAAAAAAATGCCAATATCGGTCCCATGACTTGAATGAGATTTTTGCCACAAATGCTAAAGCGTTTGTATGTGGAAACAGTACCAGGGAATCTAAACCAAAGCATGGATTGCTGTCATACCTTGTCCATCGACTGCTTACAGGGTAAGGAAACCATTGTGTAACTTGTAATTTGGGTTAACTATCCCTTTAACTGAACAGTGAACAACTCCTTGGCCCTGCCGTCCCTTGTTTTATCTCCATGATGATTCTCTGGATGTCACGACTGCAAGATACACAAAAATAAGTGGGGATGATGTCTCCATTCATTTGGTTTGGTTTGGTTTGGAAAACACTTTTCTCGAAACCAATTTTCTTGTTAAGGCGGAAGGAGAGCTTGATAGATAGAGATAGTAAAGCATGCCCTGGTAGTGGGTAGAAGTTGGCCCTAACCATTGATTCAGAGTCTGATTCAGATAATTATTTAACTACCTAATGGATTGGGTCATAGGGACATCTGATCCTAGATCTGTGGTGAGGGGCAACTTCTACCTCAAGCATGCTACTTCTATTTCCCCATTAAAGCCAGTGAAACAGTCCAAAGGAGGAGGGAGAGAGCACACACACCGGGGAAACCCATTCCAACCAGTTAGGAGGAAACCCAACATCCCACATACTAAGTTTGTGGCCCTTTATCAGTACTTCTGAAATGCATTGTTCCATTCTCTGTCCTTAGAAGTAATGACTAATCTGAAATATTACTTTACCCTATCCAATCAAGTTGGATCAGAGATTACGTCATGGAAGGAAGGAAGGAAGGATGCATGTTTAAATTATTCATGACCTCACACAGGGGAGAGAATGGACTGTGCAATACACCTTACAGAGCTCTGAGGTCAGGCTCTCTCTCTCTCTTTGGAAGTCAAAGGTCACCAACATACAAGGCAATATGGAAGTAATCTCCCAAACAGAGACATAAAAGCCTCTCTGACACAATAATCAAACACAATTTTATTTTACACTACAGTCAGAATGGTCATTCATTGAGCCTCATTTATCAATTGTAAGCAGCAAAAAAATTGTATTTTTGCATTCAAATGAGGCCCACTCTTTTATACAGAAATAGAGTGGTGACAGTGTAACATTGTGGTTGTGTTGAGACACAGCTGTCTGTAGAGAATAGGCCTGTTGTTCTGAGGGTGGAGAGACACCCTGCATCGCTGGACTGACTGGGGGAGGGGACACAGTGACATACTGTGGGGAATCATGAAGAACTCACAGCTACATCAGCTGGGTGTCCCAGTACAGCTGCAGTAAAGGGAGCAGTAGGAGTCAGAGCTACTGTTAGTCCACAACACACACACACAGAGAGAGAGAGAGGGAGAGGGAGAGGGAGAGGGAGAGGGAGAGCAAGGGAGGGTAGAGAGAGAGCCTGACGGAAACAGAGCTAGAGAGAGTGGGGATTGAGAGAGAGAGACAGAAGTAAGGGAAAGAGAGAGCGGTTGGGAAGAAACAGAGAGAGAAGATGGAGGGGAGATGTGCATCTGAGTAAGATGTTAGCAAAGCAGAGTTGAATAACATGATTGTAGACGGACCAATATAACAGATAACCAGAATGATCAGAGAATCAGATAGCATTAAAGGCGTAAGGGGCAGTCAGAGGATAGAAGAAGGTTGTTAAGGGAAACCGTCGGGGGCAGGGAGGGGGTTTGGGGCTCCATGCGGGGACCTCCACCCTTAGTACCAGAACAGAGGGGTGTGGCCGCCAAAAAGTCAAGCCGGGGCAGTAGGGAAGGGCGGAGTGGGACAGTGTGGGGTAGCGGCAGGTAGAGTGTCAAACATACACACCCTCGGGGTTGAGGCTGGACACCAGCGGGTTCTGCAGGTTGCGGGGGTGTCCCAGGAACTGCTTGGCTGTGGGGCGGGGAGGCGACTCTGAGGGGAGCAGGCCCAGTCCTGGTGGAGAGAGAGATGGAGGTTTAAGATGAGCAATCATCTGAGTGTGTGTGTGTGTGGTTGTGTGGATCCGTACCTCCGTTCCTGTATCCTTCCTGTAGCAGGTGAGCCAGTTCTAGCTGGTCCAGCTGGTCGCTGAGGTCTGTGCGTGAGTGTGTGTGTGCCGGCACGACTCCCGCCTGCTGGATGAACTGCTGCAGGTTACACTGCCTCAACTCCTTGTTCAGCTCATCCAACTCCTCCTGCTTCTCCTGGGAAGGGACACAGAGAAGGGGCCAGGACAGTCACACCTAATCCCAAATAGACCCCTATCCCCGACACTGACACACTTAATGATTCTATAGGCATAGGTGTTGGATAGGTCAAAAGTTGGGATTGAGCTTTAAAGAGAAAATCTCTCTTCTCATTCTATTCGTTTCTCTCAAGGGAAAGGGGATACCTAGTCAGTGGCACAATTGAATGCATTCAAATGAAATGTGTCTTCCACATTTAACCCAACCCCTCTGAATCAGAGATGTGCAGGGGGCTGCCTTAATCAAAATCATCAGCACCCAGGGAGCAGTTGTTGTTAGGTGTTAACTGCCTTGCTCAAGGGTAGAACAACAGATTTTTCCATCTTGCCGGCTCAGGGATTCAAACCAGTGACATTTTGATTACTGGTCAAATGCTCTTAACCACTAGGCTACCTGCCCTAGATGGTACAGAACTATGTTTGACACTGTGAAATAGGACAGTCTCAGTAATGTTTGTATTGTGGTAAGATGTTTTCAACATGAAAATGTTGTTGCTATTGCATGAATCAACTCCTTTGTTTTCTGGGACTACCTCACAAATATCCAAATACTGCATATCGGAACTGCTTAGTTGGAATATAAATCAACCACAAATATAGAGCTAACTGGCAGAGACATGAAATGTAATTTGCAAGGTTACTTAGGTTAGTTACATAATCATTGGAACAAACACAGACTAACTGGTGTTGAAATCTTTCAAAGGCTGTAATTCCTATTCCCACCACCAGAGAGCAGCAACAGCCACAGCATTAATCTCAGATGTCAGATGCTCCTCATATTAACGAACAGTCACGTGCTGCATACATCTCTAGCAAGCCACTGCTGCCTGCAAATGTGTAACATTCATGAACATACATTTCATAAGCTTGTTACAATCAGTAAAGTATGTTTAACTGTATAGATGCCCATCAGTTTGAATGCAACTTTGAATTGTATGGAAAATGTATGCACTCACTAACTGTAAGTCGCTCTGGATAAGAGTGTCTGCTAAATGACTAAAATGTAAAATGTAATTGAACTGGGTGAAAAAGAAGAAGAGAGAAGCCACTTGTCTTGCCAACATCAACTGTCAACTGTAAGTCGCTCTCGGAACAGTCGAGAGAGGGAGCGAGACAGAGAGAGAGAGAGAGGGGGGAGGTGGATAGAGAGAGTGGTGCTCTACACTGCCACCCATATGTGGAAATTGATCCTGAATGGAATGGATTATTTGTGGGAAACAGTTGACACCTGCAGGCTCATCTCCATTAAGATTCAAATTCAGAGTGTTTAATAGTCACATTTACAGGGGTTGCAGGTGTGTTTGCAGGGTACAGTGAAAATCTTAGGCTCCGAGCATCACCTACCCACTGGGCACACACTGGTTGAATCAACGTTTCCACGTCATTTCAATGAAATTACGTTAACGTGGAATAGACGTTGAATTGACGTCTGAGCTCATCAGGTAATGACAGGAGCTGTGAGCTCATCATCATAAAAACACACAATACTGATGATGTTTACTATCAGCTTACGGGGTTTGCCTTGCAGTGAACCAGGACCAGCAAGCTATAGTTCTGTACGAGAGGAACAGCAAGCTATGGTTCTGTACAAGAGAAACAGCAAGCTATGGTTCTGTACAAGAGGAGGATCAGCAAGCTATGGTTATGTACAAGAGGAACAGCAAGCTATGGTTCTGTACCAGGCAGCAAGTGGGTCCTTCCTCCTTGAAGGACCATATAGGGCCAGGTAGCCTAGTGGTTAAGAGCGTTTCGCCAGTAACCGAAAAGTTGTTGGTTTGAATCCCCAAGCCAAATAGGTGAAACATCTGTTGATGTGCCCTTAAGCAAGGTACTTAACCCCAATTGCTCCTGTAAGTCGATCTGGATAAGAAATGGAAATGTTGTGACTGACTAAATGAGTGTCATGTAGACCAAGTCACATTCCAACTTAGAGAATAAACTGATCCCAAATGAGCTTTTCATGGTCTTTTAATGTAGCACAGCCATTACTTATGGATCCCCAGCAGATGGGTTTTAATAGTCTAAGAGCGCCTATGGCCCTTTCTTAATGTGGGATGTAGCAAATGCACTCAACCCACACGAAAAACATTACAATATCAATAGCTACATAAACAAATAAGAGGGGGGGGGGTATTTGCACAATCAGTATAGCCTTCTGTTTGTTTTCTTGGATAAACTTTCCAAAACCATTCTTCTACCTTCATGTAAAAAGCTGTTCCTCCTACTGAAACAGAATTTACAATTCTGGGTGTATCTGACCTGAACAGTGTCCCTGATCCACAAAGTGTCTCTGTTCGAGTATCAGGTTCCATGTGGATTATGATGAGGCTTGTGTTTCCTCCAACTGGGTAAGGCCTTTATTCACCAGGCACTGCAGGCACAGCCTCACCACAACAACAACAACAACAACAACATTAGAGCCTCACCGATATGTTTTTTGTGGTCCGATACTGTTTGCGATTTGTTTGGGGGCAAAACTTACCGATACTGATATACTGTTTTACAGCGGGAAAATTAAAAAATTGCCATCCAAAAGAGCAATTGTCCAATAACTATGCTACAAATGTTGATTTCATACATTGTGACAATAATGACACATCATAAGAATGGCCACAAGTGTTCAGATAAGCATGAGATTCCCCTTTTCATCAAATTTTTTGAATATTGGTAATTGTGGAGTTATCAGCTGATACCGATATAGCGTTAAAAGGCCAATCCCGGCCGATAATATCAGTGAACCGATATATCGGTCCGGCTCTAAACAACATTACTGTCTCCAACTATCAGCAATCTCTGACAGACCTGCTTGTGGCCAAGTCAAGATAAGAAAATGCACTTGTGCAATTGAACAGTGGTAGAAAAAGTACCCAATTGTCATACTTGAGTAAAAGTAAAGATACCTTAATAGAAAATGAAAAGTAAAAGTGAAAGTCAACCATTAAAATACTACTTGAGGAAAAGTCTAAAAGTATTTGGCTTTAAATATACTTAAGTATCAAAAGTAAATGTAAAAGTATGAATTGAAAATTCCTTATATTAAGCAAACCAGACGGCACAATTTTCTTGTTTTTAAAATGTAAGGATAGCCAGCACTCAGACATCATTTACAAATGAAGCATTTGTGTTTAATGAGTCCGCCAGATCAGAGGCAGTATGGATGACCAGGGATGTTCTCTTGATAAGTGTGTGAATTGGACCATTTTCTGTCCTGCTAAACATTCAAACTGTAATGACAAAATGTATGGAGAAAAAGTACATTATTTTCTTTAGGAATGTAGTGAAGTAAAAGTAAAAGTTGTCAAAAATATAAATAGTAAAGTAAAGTACAGATACCCCAAAAATCTACTTAAGCAGTACTCTAAAGTATTTTTACTTAAGTACTTTACACCACTGCAATTGAATAGTGATCTTTATTTTGTTTTGAAATTTTTCTCCATTTCAGATTAAAGAATATAAGGAAGTAGAGGTACTGTCAATGTCATATGAATGAGAGTACAGATTCGTATATATGGGAGAGTGTATCTAATCAGTCCAGATGAGAACTAGGCTGTCACAGCCAATCATACCTGTCAAGCAAGTTCAGTCAGACACCCAACAGGGGTCACATTACAATTCATAACAAACATTCATAAAATTAGATTTAGGTACAAAACATTGTTTTAATTATGAGCAAGTTTTCCCATCACCATTGGAGTCAGAGATCATATTTACTTGTTTGTTGAGTGTCCTTGCACTGATGAGTGTATGCGTGTGTGTTTGCTGCAGTGTGCTGTCAAGAGGGGGTGAGAGAGGGTAGCTACACCAGTGGTTCCCAAACATTTTTGATAAAGTTTTTCAAATGTGATCCACTTGATCACAACATGTTTTGCCTCGATCAAAGATCATTAAGCTGCAGGCATCCATTAATTGATTGATGTCATTGATTGGCTAACTTGGTTTCCCAGGTTTGTCCCACACCATTGACCCCCCATTTGGGAACCACTGAGCTTCTCGTGGGTACTGGGTAGGTGTGTGGGTGAAGGAGAGTGCGAGCTACACCCCTCTCTCCAGGGCCCTGCCCTCTCTCCTTACCTGCAGCAGTGATGCGGCCTTCCCCAGAGCCTTGTCCGTCTCTGATAACGCCCCCTCCAGCTCCTCGCTGTGCCTCCCCTGGCTCTGTAGCTCCGCCCTCATCACCCCTAGGGACTCCTCACCCCCTGCCTGATTGGCCCTCGCAGGCTGGGCGCCGCCCCCCAAGCTCTCCCGTTGGATCTGCTGCTCCAACTGGGCGGAGCGAGATGAGAAGTCTTGGAGTCTCCGGCCGCAGTCGTCCATCTTGGAATGGAGCTCCCCCAGCCTCCTTCTCATCCCCCTCTCTCTCTCCACCTCCACCTGCAGCTCTTCTTCCCAGAACGTCTCATGGGCCAACTCAGCCTGGTTCCTCCTGGCTGCCTGCTCCAGAGCTTCCATCTCCTCCTGGAGATGAGCCTCTGGGAAAGGGGAGGGGGCTGGGGAGGCCCTGTTCCAGGACCGAGAGTCTCTCTCCATGGCCTCCAGCTGGGCCTCAATGGCCCTCAACCTCTCCTGCTGCTGAAGAACCTGCCGGAAAACCTCCTCTTTGGATGGGCCCACTGGAGGGGAGGGAGAGGGGGAGTGTGAGGAGGGAGAGGGGGAGGGGGAGTGTGGGGAGGGGGAGGGAGCATGGTGGGGAGGGATGGGGCTGGGTGAGGCCCTCTGTTCGGGGGAGTCGCGGGGAGACTTCCTGATGAGCTGCTTGGCTTTGGTTCTGGGGGAGGTGGAGGGCCCCAGGTTGAAGGTGAGGGACTTCTTGGGCTGGTTGTGTTTGAGGGGCTCTGGGTCGGGGTGTTTGGGCAGGGGAAGAGGGACGACCCGGTCCTGGCTGGAGCCAGAGCCAGACCCTGGTCCATCACTGCTACTGGGGCCGGTGCGGCGCAGGAAGAACTGGACGTCGTTGCTGTGCTGGCCCAGCTTGGCCAGGGACTCCAGGGGCTTCTCATTGGCTAACAGTTGCCTCTCTGAGTCCCTCAGTCTCTGGATCAGCACGTAGCGACCCGTCTGACCTGTGGCAGGAAGAGAGCGGGAGAGAGAGATAAAGCGAGTGAGAGAGGGTCAGAGAGAGAGAGAGAGGGTGAGAGAGAGTCAGAAAACTGAAACACAATAAACAACATCAAATCACTACAAATCACCACATAAATATACAGTAAGTGGGCATCATGTTGACACCCAAAGTTCCATAATCTATGCAGTTAACTGCTAGTTGCCCTTTCTCTGGCTCTGGGCTATTGCTAATGGCTATACAAGACTCTAAACTCTAGGTCTGCAGTCCTTCACTCAACTCTCTCTCTCTCTCTCGCTCGCTTCTCTCAGCAATGAAAAATATGAGTAGAAGACTGTTGTATAAGTCTTATACAACATATAAACATGTTCAAACAAACTGAAATCTCCATGAGGACTCTGAAATGAGGACAAACTCTCCCTAATGACCTGGCAGCCTCTCACGCACAGAGGAAAGGAAACCGCTAAATATGGGGTTTAGTTTTTGGCACTGCAGTATGTGGCTTCAGTTCAGCCTGAGGGTGTGGTGACAGAAGCTTGCTCCATACAAAGTTGACCCCTAGCCCCCTTCCCCCTTGGCACTTCTTTGAGGTCAGAAAGGATGGGATAGGTGGAAGAAATATGGTAATACAGTAATTCCAACTTGCCCTATGATCAGTGGGATTTTCACCATACTGCTGAATCCTTTTCAGATCTAGTGACTATGGAGTAGGGGCTAGTCAGGGTTGGTTTGGAAAGAGCCTTAAGGGTGTAGAGGGACAGAACTCGCACCCTAGAGAGGAAGAGGGACTGAGATACTGACCAATGGCCTGAGCCAGTGCGATGACCACATCCTGGCAGGAAGTCTCCTCTGATAGGCCACAGACCACGCGCACCACTCCATCCACCCACACCTTCAGCTCCATCTGAGATGCCACGCTACGAGATGCGACAAGGACTTCAGTTCAGATCCGCTTGGCTTGGCTCAATTTGGCTCAATTCAGCATTGCATGGTATTACTGACTCCTCTCTGCAAGGAAGAGAAATATGGATAAGGTTAAACAACACCCTCACAACCAACCAACCAACCAACCGACCGACAGTACAGAAATACTGTACGTGTTACACGGAACTTGTCGAACACCCACAATGTTATCTAGCCAAAGGGGGTGAAAAAAAGTAATCCCTCAAGACACAGCAGCATAATAATGTTGCAAACTTTAACACACCCCACAGGCAGCTGTGTCACACACAAGTGGCCCATTTCTCTCTCCATCTGTTGATTGAGGCTATGGGTTTAGCATCTCTCCTGCAGGCTCTATATGTAACAGAGACATTTTGACGTCAGGCCCTGCGTATGTGTGACTACCAGTAGTGACTGACTGAGCCGAGCCGAGTATTACCTTCCTGAAGTTTCCGATGGTACCTCACGGACCCGAGAGCGTCAACACAGATCTGTAACCCAATTAATTGCTCCACTTCCCTTCTTCAAAGACGTTATGACAGCTTAGATCCAAGGGGAGTGGACAGGCAGAATGCACTGTAGCCACTCAGTGTGTGTGTGTTCCACTTTGATGCCTCCCACCAGGAGCTGATCTGGCAGACCTGGCTGACCTGGAACTTCAGACACTGTCTCTGGGAAGAGCAGCATAGCCTAACACATGAGGATAATTAAGCCTGAGTGTATTTCAGAGTGACGAACAGGAGCAGCACTCCGTTTTATGACTGTGCTTGATCTGTATTCCACTAATAACAAGGCAATAACATGCGTAGCCTGACTCATAAAGTACACACATATAATTTTTTAAATGACAGTAGTAGTAGGCTAGGACTATACAGTGTCTCATTTGGCATATGATAACTCAGTAAGGCCAAAGACACCGATATGGCAGTGTGATCCTAAGAAAAGTTATGTCAACATGAGTAATAGATCAAATGACCCACTTGCTATGTAACTGGTACACAGCACAGCTAGTGTTCGAGCTCAAACCCCTAGCCTAGCTCCTCCCCCTCCTCTCGCTGATGTGTTTTTAACCAAATCCTCCATGATCTCCTCCTCATTGACTATTGGCTGTGGTCCAGGGGCCATCTATAGGGGAGCTGCCCAGCAGGAATGCACTGACTTCATCTGATGAACACAAGAATTCCAGCTTTCTTAACAAACCATCATTATTACGGTTTATATACCGTCACTAGCTCCCCTCCCTGTGACCAAGCTACCCCCAGCATTACTCATGATGTGGTATTTACAGGCCAAACACTGGATGCGCTGGGGAGCAACAGGGAAGCTCATTTGGCAACAGGACACAGAACTCATCACAACACCACCACACAAGATGGTGGTGTAGTAAAAACATAATCCGAAAATGTTGTTCTCTGTTCTTCAGGCTTCCATAAACGTAACGTGCATTCAGTTTCTCTCACACTAACCCCGCCTACTCTGCAAATGCAGCTCGCGTTGTCGTGCTGTTTGTTGCGACTTGGCCACTTGCCAAACTTTTCGTTTTTTACTTTTAATAACCATTTAATCTAAACTCTGCATTTAACACATTTACCAACGTCTTCGTTTCTTCCTCGCTCTACTTTTTTCATTCAACTTTTTACCCCGGACGCTTTAGTACCTGGATACCAACTACCGAGCCAGGCTACCAAGAGCTCAACTCATACAACGCTCTCTATAAAACTATTAAAGGAAAGTTCTAATTTCCAGCGTATGAGTGTGAATCCAATTGTTGGCCATAAATGCTGTAATTGTATGTTTTGTATCCCCCATGACTACAGAAACTGGGGACACGACTGACACAGCTCTGAGAGGCTACACCGAACACAAACACTCAGCCGGGCCGGTGCGTAGAAAGGAACAGCCGGCGACCTGCCACTGATAACCGACCCAGGACATCACCCGCCCCCCTGTACTTCTCTCTTGCTCTCACATTCAACGAGAGACAGACAACAACACAGTTGTGCGGGGGGTTGGTGGGGGCGTCCGTGGCCATGGAGGGAGCATCTAAGTCCCCGGGGGAGCCGGGAAATGTTTGTTCCCTTGGACTGTCGGCGTGCAGCAGTGAAAACTCATTTGAATCTGCTGGGGACTCGCAAGCAATTACATTTATAATATGCGACATATTTGTTGTTGTCACAGGGAAAGGTCCGATGGATACCTTCATTTGTGAAAAATGTATTGAACTTGATGCAGCTAAAGAAATTATTATTACTCTTCATGAAGAAATACAAAATTTGACCAAGCACCTTGAACTGAATAACGATTCTATGAGAATATCGCTTCCTATCAAAACATTCAAGAGGATTATAATGGGACCTTCCTGGACTATGATCAATTTCCGCCACTGCACTCCTCTACTAGCTTCAATCAGAAAATGGCTGCTCACTGTTCGACTCCAGGTGAGCGTAAATGGATGCATGTCGGAACCAGAAAGAAGGAAAATAATCGTTCTCGGCGCGCCGGCCATCTTCCCCCGTGTCCGGTCATATGACTTTCAAATCGCTTTGAGCCCCTGTACCAGCTGTCCTCTGTCGGGGGCTTGGGTGTTCCCTCCATTGCTGTGGATGACCCTCCAGATACCTCTTCCGGTCCTAGTCAATCAACTGTCTGGGCACAGCCTGGACCACCGCGGCCCCCCTCCGCTGGGTTGTGCTCTCTGGATCAGAGCTCTGTCCCTTTGGCAGTTGTGGCCTGCACGCAGCCGGCGTCGCAGCAGCCCTCTTCTCAGGTGAGTTCTGTGGCTCTGGCCTCGCAATCTGCTTCGAGACACGGCAGAGGCCGGATCATTCCGGCGATTGTGATAGGGAGTTCGATGGTGAGGCATATATCTGTACCTGGGGCAAAGACTTTGTGTTTTCCTGTGTCAAAAGTTCAGGATATCACCAGGTTGCTTCCCGGGGCTGTGAGTCAGTCACCGGGGCATGATACTGTCATGGTTCATGTGGGGTCAAATGACATTATGAAGGGCAGCTCAAAACAGCTGAAGATGGATTTTAAAGAACTGATTGGGTCTCTACTTAACACCAACAAATGCCCCATAATATCTGGCCCTCTGCCCTCCCTAAATCGTGGCATTGAATGGTTCAGCAGACTTTTAGCCCTTATTGACAATTTCGATACCTTCTGGAAACAAAGCTCGTATTATAAGGAGGATGGGATCCACCCAAATCATTTGGGTTCCTGGATCCTTTCACAGCATTATAAGGCTGCGTTGAGACAATGACTTATCAACGAGCCAAGTCCAGCTCATTTAATCCCTACTATTGTGTCGCTGAGTTGTCATAATGATTCAGCATATGTACATTATCCTAGGGGCGTTGGAAGACACAATGTAAATAACCTAATTTATGTCCTTCTTACTGCCCGGAATGCCTCTGCTGATCCTACAGCAATTGTATGCAGTAATCATATGCCTATGAACTAGAGTAATACTGTTAGCACTGAGGTGGTGTGCCCTAGTAGGAAGTCCACTGTGTGCAGCTCACCCTGCACTAATAAAAATAACCTAAGTATGTCTACTTCTGCTAAGCTTCCCAGTAAAGCAAGAAAAATTATCAAGCATCCCAGAAAAGTGTTATAAATAGCCCATGTTAACATATGTAGCTTAAGAAACAAGGTTCATGAAATCAATAATTTGCTACTAACAGATGACATTCATATTCTGACAATCTCTGAAACTCACTTACATAATACCTTTGATGATACAGTGATAGCAATACAAGGTTATAACATTTACAGAAAATACAGAAATGCCAATGGGGGCGGTGTTGCGGTCAATATTCAGAACCACATTCCTGTAAAGTTTAGAGAGGATCTCCTGTTAAATGCTGTTGAAGTAATATGGCTACAGGCTCACCAGCTTCCCCTAAAGCCCATTCTGGTGGGAAGCTGCTATAGACCACCAAGTGCTAACAGTCAGTATCTGGATAACATGTGCTTGACAATGCTTGATAATATATGTCATATCAATAGAGAGGTATACTTCCTGGGTGATTTAAATATTGACTGGCTTTCATCAGGCTGCCCACTCAAGAGAAAGCTTCAAACTGTAACTAGTGCCTGCAACCTGGTTCAGGTTATCAATCAACCTACCAGGGTAGTTACAAACAGTACAGGAATGTATTGATCATATCTTTACTAATGCTGCAGAATTTGGTTTGAAAGCAGTATCCAAATCCATTGGATGTAGTGATCACAATATAGTAGCCATATCTAGGAAAACCAAAGTTCCAAAGGCTGGGCCTAATATTGTGTGTAAGAGGTCATACAATAAGTTCTGTAGTGATTCCTATGTTGTTGATGTGAAGAATATTTGTTGGTCTGTGGTGTGTAATGACGAGCAACCAGACGCTGCACTTGACACAGTTATGAAATTGCTTATCCCAGTTACGAATAAGCATGCACCAATTAAGAAAATGACTGTAAAAACTGTTAAATCCCCGTGGATTGATGAGGAATTTAAGAATTGTATGGTTGAGAGGGATGAGGCAAAAGAGATGGCAAATAGGTCTGGCTGTACAACCGATTGGCAAAAGTACTGCAAATTGAGAAATCATGTGACTAAACTGAATAAAAAGAAGAAGAAACTACACTATGATACAAAGATAAATGACATAAAGAACAATAGTACCTTAAATGAAATTTTGGGGGAAAAGGCAAACTCCGCTCCATCATTCATTGAATCAGATGGCTCATTCATCACAAAACCCACAGATACTGCCAACTAGTTTAATTATTTTTTCATTGGCAAGATTAGCAAACTTAGACATGACATGCCAGCAACAAACGCTGACACTACACATCCAAGTATATCTGACCAAATTATGAAATACAAGCATTGTAATTTTTAATTCCGTAAAGTAAGTGTGGAAGAGGTGAAAAAAGTATTATTGTCGATCAACAATGACAAGCCACCGAGGTCTGACAACTTGGATGGAAAATTACTGAGGATAATAGTGGACGATATTGCCAGTCCTATTTGCCATATCTTCAATTTAAGCCTACTAGAATGTGTGTGCCCTCAGGCCTGGAGGGAAGAAAACGTTATTCCGCTACCTAAGAATAGTAAAGCCCCCTTAACTGCCTCAAATAGCCAACCAATCAGCCTGTTACCAACCCTTCTCAAACATTTGGTAAAAATGGTGTTTGACCAGATAAAATGCTATTTCAAGGTAAACAAATTGACAACAGACTTTCAGCACGCTTATAGGGAAGGACATTGAACAAGCACAGCACTTACACAAATGACTGATGATTGGCTGAGAAAAATTAATGATAAAAAGACTTCAGTGTGGCTTTTGACATTATCGATCATAGTCTGTTGCTGGGAAAATGTATGTGTTATGGCTATAAACCCCCTGCTACAGTGAGGGAAATAAGTATTTGATCCCCTGCTGATTTTGTACGTTTGCCCACTGACAAAGACATGATCAGTCTATAATTTTAATGGTAGGTTTATTTGAACAGTGAGAGACAGAATAACAACAACAAAAATTCAGAAAAAACGCATGTAAAAAAATGGTATAAATTGATTTGCATTTTAATGAGGGAAATAAGTATTTGACCCCTCTGCAAAACATGACTTAGTACTTGGTGGCAAAACCCTTGTTGGCAATCACAGAGGTCAGACGTTTCTTGTAGTTGGCCACCAGGTTTGCACACATCTCAGGAGGGATTTTGTCCCACTCCTCTTTGCAGATCTTCTACAAGTCATTAAGGTTTTGAGGCTGACGTTTGGCAACTCGAACCTTCAGATCCCTCCACAGATTTTCTATGGGATTAAGGTCTGGAGACTGGCTAGGCCACTCCAGGACCTTAATGTGCTTCTTCTTGAGCCACTCCTTTGTTGCCTTGGCCATGTGTTTTGGGTCATTGTCATGCTGAATACCCATCCACGACCCATTTTCAATGGCCTGGCTGAGGGAAGGAGGTTCTCACCCAAGATTTGACGGTACATGGCCCCGTCCATCGTCCCTTTGATGCGGTGAAGTTGTCCTGTCCCCTTAGCAGAAAAACACCCCCAAAGCATAATGTTTCCACCTCCATGTCTGACGGTGGGGATGGTGTTCTTGGGGTCATAGGCAGCATTCCTCCTCCTCCAAACACGGCGAGTTGAGTTGATGCCAAAGAGCACCATTTTGGTCTCATCTGACCACAACACTTTCACCCAGTTCTCCTCTGAATCATTCAGATGTTCATTGGCAAACTTCAGACGGGCCTGTATATGTGCTTTCTTGAGCAGGGGGACCTTGCGGGCGCTGCAGGATTTCAGTCCTTCACGGCGTAGTGTGTTCCCAATTGTTTTCTTAGTGACTATGGTCCCAGCTGCCTTGAGATCATTGACAAGATCATCCCGTGAAGTTCTGGGCTGATTCCTCACCGTTCTCATGATCATTGCAACTCCACAAGGTGAGATCTTGCATGTTGCCCCAGCCCGAGGGAGATTGACAGTTATTTTGTGTTTCTTCCATTTGCGAATAATCGCACCAACTGTTGTCACCTTCTCACCAAGCTGCTTGGCGATGGTCTTGTAGCCCATTCCAGCCTTGTGTAGGTCTACAATCTTGTCCCTGACATCCTTGGAGAGCTCTTTGGTCTTGGCCATGGTGGAGAGTTTGGAATCTGACTGATTGATTGCTTCTGTGGACAGGTCTTTTAAGCTGAAATTAGGAGCACACTCTTAAAGGGAGTGCTCCTAATCTCAGCTTCTTACCTGTATAAAAGACACCTGGGAGCCAGAAATCTTTCTGATTGAGAGGGGGTCAAATACTTATTTCCCTCATTCAAATGCAAATCAATTTATACATTTTTGATATGCGTTTTTCTGGATTTTTTTGTTGTTATTCTGACTCACTGTTCAAATAAACCTACCATTAAAATTATAGACTGATAATTTCTTTGTCAGTGGGCAAACGTACAAAATCAGCAGGGGATCAAATACTTGTTTCCCTCACTGTATATTGTGGATAAAGAGTTACCTGTCTAACAGAACACAGAGGGTGTTCTTTAATGGAAGCCTCTCCAACAAAATCCAGGTAGAATCAGGAATTCCCCTGGGCAGCTGTCTATGCCCCTTACTTTTTTCAATCTTTACTAACGACATGCCTCTGGCTTTGAGTAAAGCCAGTGTTACCTGTCTATGTATGCGGATGACTCAACACTATACACGTCAGCAACCACAGCGACTGAAATGACAGCAACACTTAACAAAGAGCTGCAGTTAGTTTCAGAATGGGTGGCAAGGAATAAGTTAGTCCTAAATATTTAAAAAAACTAAAAGCATTGTATTTGGGACAAATCATTTACTAAAATCCTAAACCTCAACTAAATCTTGTAATGAATCATGTGGCAATTGAGCAAGTTGAGGAGACTAAATTGCTTGGAGTAACATTGGATTGTAAACTGTCATGGTCAAAACATATTGATACAACAGTAGCTAGGATGGGGAGAAGTCTGTCTATAATAAAGTACTGCTCTGCATTCTTAGCAGCACTACGAACAAGGCAGGTCCTACAGGCCCTAGTTTTGTCACACCTGGACTACTGTTCAGTCGTGTGGTCAGGTGCCACAAAGAGGGACTTAGGAAAATTGCAATTGGCTGAGAACAGGGCAGCACGGCTGGCCCTTGGATGTACACAGAGAGCTAACATTAATCTCTCCTGGCTCAAAGTGGAGGAGAGATTGACTTCATCACTACTTGTATTTGTGAGAGGTATTGACATGTTGAATGAACCGAGCTGTCTGTTTGAACTACTGGCACACTGCTCGGACACCCATGCAGAGCATGGAACTCTATTCCACATCAAGTAACTCATGCCAGCAGTAAAAATAGATTTAAAAAACAGATACAAATACTCCTTATGGAACAGCGGGGACTGTAAAACTACACAAACATAGACACATGCATACAAACACACGATAACATACACACTATACACACGTACACATGGATTTTGTGTTATAGATATGTGGTAGTAGAGTAGAGGCCTGAGGCCACACACTTAATATATTGTGAAATATGTTATGAATGTATTGTAATGTGTTTAAAATGTATAACTGCCTTAATTTTGCTGGACCCCAGGAAGTGTAGCTGCTGCCTTGGGATCCATAATAAATACAAATACAAAGGAGTCACAACTCAACATTGCCACATATAAAGGAGTCACAGCTCAACATCGCCACAATTCTATCTATCTTCCGGTTACTCACACAGGCTGTTTTCATTTAGAATGCAAGTCAGGGAGGGAGGAAGGGTTAATCTGTTTATCAACCTCACCAAAGGACATTCTAGCACTATGGTGGAATTGTCACGACTGGCCAAAATATTTTTGCTTTGAGTCGGCATGCACTTGTCCTATGTTGCAATAACTATGTGCACATAAAAAACACACACGCACACAGACCAAAGTGTGCTCACTCTATTCGAGATTAGATAAGATTAGTTTTCACTCATCAATTAAGTCATTAATCTCCATCGCATTGCTTATCTCCTTCAATTTCCCCCAAAAAATGATTCAAATAATAACAGCCCTCTTTCCATCCTCTGGTATCGGTCAGGCCGAGAGAAGTGGAATGCTACCTTACAGGCCTGTGTGAAAGAGAGAGAGGGAGAGAGGGATAGAGAGAAAGAAGAAAGAGAGACGCTGGAACAAACTCTCCTTTGTCTGTGAATAGACTAGGACTATAAAAACACACTCAGTAACCCAGTAAATCAAACATGGCATCCAACACCAACCCATCTCCCCCTGTCAGGGCATCACAGTGGCCTGAGAGACACAACGCTCAACACACTCCGGTAGGAAACTGGAACAAACACTGCACCTGAATTCTCAAAAATGGCTTCCTTTCCTTGTCACTTGCATTGATTCTGCAGAACTGGACGATAGGTGAAAGCAAGTGTAACAGTTGATATAGGCCTCCAAAGATTTCCTTTAATTTATCTAGTTTTCAGATTGTTGTAAAAGCAGGTGGTGAGATAAGGTGAGGACATATTAGATAAGAAGAGGGTAATGCTTTGGATTAACAGAGGTATCTGTCCCCTGACCCCTATAAATTAGCTCAATCTCATTTAACACCTCACCTGGCCAAGTCTTATTGGCCAAACGAGCCCTAGTGTGTTGAGGCTCATGTATGACAGGTTCTCACGCTGCCTATGACACCCTGTGACAGTGTGTGCCATGACAAGCTGTCCTCCCACAAAAACACACCCCCTAGACAGTGAAATGTGATCAAGCACACCAACAGGAAACAAACCAACCACACGGTCTCAAGTTACTGCCTGGCTATTCTCACTGTTCATCTGTCACAGGAACAACAGTGGTATCTATGCCCCATGAGCACTATCATGTGAAGTTCATAGGAGCACATCAAATGTGGTGTCAAATGGAAGCTAAGAGAAATGAAGGCATATCTTTTATCTTTGCTTATTTGAGCTGTTCTTGCCATAATATAGACTTGGTATTTTACCAAATAGGGCTACAGTGGGGGAAAAAGTATTTAGTCAGCCACCAATTGTGCAAGTTCTCCCACTTAAAAAGACGAGAGAGGCCTGTAATTTTCATCATAGGTACACGTCAACTATGACAGACAAAATGAGAAAAAAAAATCCAGAAAATCACATTGTAGGATTTTTTATGAATTTATTGGCATATGATGGTGGAAAATAAGTATTTGGTCAATAACAAAAGTTTCTCAATACTTTGTTATATACTCTTTGTTGGCAGTGACACAGGTCAAACGTTTTCTGTAAGTCTTCACAAGGCTTTCACACACTGTTGCTGGTATTTTGGCCCATTCCTCCATGCAGATCTCCTCTAGAGCAGTGATGTTTTGGGGCTGTCGCTGGGCAACACAGACTTTCAACTCCGTCCAAAGATTTTCTATGGGGTTGAGATCTGGAGACTGGCTAGGCCACTCCAGGACCTTGAAATGCTTCTTACGAAGCCACTCCTTCGTTGCCCGGGCGGTGTGTTTGGGATCATTGTCATGCTGAAAGACCCAGCCACGTTTCATCTTCAATGCCCTTGCTGATGGAAGGAGGTTTTCACTCAAAATCTCACGATACATGGCCCCATTCATTCTTTCCTTTACACGGATCAGTCGTCCTGGTCCCTTTGCAGAAAAACAGCCCCAAAGCATGATGTTTCCAACCCCATGCTTCACAGTAGGTATGGTGTTCTTTGGATGCAACTCAGCATTCTTTGTCCTCCAAACATGACGAGTTGAGTTTTTTACCAAAAAGTTATATTTTGGTTTCATCTGACCATATGACATTCTCCCAATCCTCTTCTGGATCATCCAAATGCACTTCAGACGGGCCTGGACATGTACTGGCTTAAGCAGGGGGACATGTCTCGCACTGCAGGATTTGAGTCCCTGGCTGCGTAGTGTGTTACTGATGGTTGGCTTTGTTACTTTTGTCCCAGCTCTCTGCAGGTCATTCACTAGATCCCCCCGTGTGGTTCTGGGATTTTTGCTCACCGTTCTTGTGATCATTTTGACCCCACGGGGTGAGAACTTGCGTGGAGCCCCAGATCGAGGGAGATTATCAGTGGTCTTGTATGTCTTCCATTTCCTAATAATTGCTCCCACAGTTGATTTCTTCAAACCAAGCTGCTTAACAATTGCAGATTCAGTCTTCCCAGCCTGGTGCAGGTCTACAATTTTGTTTTTGGTGTCCTTTGACAGCTATTTGGTCTTGGGCATAGTGGAGTTTGGAGTGTGACTGTTTGAGGTTGTGGACAGGTGTCTTTTATACTGATAACAAGTTCAAACAGGTGCCATTAATACAGGTAACGAGTGGAGGACAGAGGAGCCTCTTAAAGAAGAAGTTACAGGTCTGTGAGAGCCAGAAATCTTGCTTGTTTGTAGGTGACCAAATACTTATTTTCCACCATAATTTGCAAATAAATTCATAAAAAATCCTACAATGGGATTTTCTGGATTTTTTTTTCTCAATTTGTCTGTCATAGTTGACGTGTACCTATGATGAAAATTACAGGCCTCTCTCATCTTTTTAAGTGGGAGAACTTGCACAATTGGTGGCTGACTAAATACTTTTTTTTCCCCACTGTATATTCTGTATACCCCCCCCCCCCCCCCCCCCCCCCCCCCCCCACACACACACACACACACACCTTGTCACAACACAACTGATTGGCTCAAACGCATTAAGAAGGAATTCCACAAATTAACTTTTAAGAAGGCACACCTGTTAACTGAAATGCATTCTAGGTGACTACCTCATGAAGCTGGTTGAGAGAATGCCAAGAGTATGCAAAGATGTAATCAAGGCAAAGGGTGGCTATTTGAAGAATCTCAAATTACCGGTCACCCTAGACCCACTTCAATTTGCATACCGCCCCATTAGGTCCACAGACGATGCAATCGCCATCACACTGCACACTGCCCTATCCCATCTGGACAAGAGGAATACCTATGTAAGAATGCTGTTCATTGACTATAGCTCAGCATTTAACACCATAGTACCCTCCAAGCTCATCATCAACCTTGAGGCCCTGGGTCTCAACCCCGCCCTGTGCAATTGGGTCCTGGACTTCCTGACGGGCCGCCTCCCAGGTGGTGAAGGTAGGAAACAACATCTCCACTTCGCTGATCCTCAACACTGGGGCCCCACAAGGGTGTGTGCTCAGCCCCCTCAGACAGTGTGGTGAAGAAGGCGCAACAGCATCTATTCAACCTCAGGAGGCTGAAGAAATTTGGCCTGTCACCTAAAACCCTCACAAACTTTTACAGATGCACAATTGAGAGCATCCTGTTGGGCTATATCACCGCCTGGTACGGCAACTGCACAGCCCACAATCGCAGAGCTCTCCAAAGGGTGGTGCGGTCTGCACAACACATCACCGGGGGCAATCTACCTGCCCTCCAGGACACCTACAGCACCCGATGTCACAGGAAGGCCAAAAAGATAAATCAAGGAGCCACTGCCACTGCCTGTTCACCCCGCTATCATCCAGAAGGCTGTAAGGGTTGGTGTGAGGTGTGACCCAGGTGCTGTGCAGGATAGACAGTAGGCAGTAGGCAGAGATGGTGAAACAAGGATCTTTACTGGTGGTCCCAAAGCCGGGATACAAAATAACGGACTTGTCCCGATAAAATAAAGGAGGAGCAAATTGGTCTCCAAAAACAGTCTGACAGCAAAAATACAAAATTCTAACTATGACTGAAACAACAATGAAACAGGGAGAACACTTCTCAAGTACCTGCACATACGTCTCGCGATCAGACACTGATTCGTACTGCTTGGCATCGAGAAACTAGCAGAGAAAACAGAGCAAGGGAACACAGGGAAGTGAGGGCATAAATACACAGGTGAACAGGTAGACACAGGTGACACCAATATGATCATGATTAGTCCAGACTGTGAGTGAGGAGGTGCCTAAGGTTGTCGGAGGAGTACATCTAGTGGGTCGCTCCGGAACTGCAACCCCCTCCTGGTGGGGGGAAGATGCAGGCGGTAGGCCACTGGGTTGACTCGCTGGACTACTCTGAATGGCCCGACGAACCGGGGGGACAGCTTCTTCGACTCCATGTGGAGGGGAAGATCCCGCGTGGAGAGCCACACCCTCTGACCCGGGCGAAAAACTGGGGCCGGGCGACGCCTGCGGTTGGCCTGATGTTGAGACCTGACCGAGGGCTGCTTAAGTGCCGCCCATACCTGCCTCCAGGTGCGGCGACAGCGACTGATGTGGGCCTGGACCGACGGGACCACTGCCTCCTCCTCTGGGAATAGGGGGGGTTGGTACCCATATTGGCACTGGAAGGGGGGCAGGCCAGTGGACGAGCAGAGAAGGGTGTTGTGGGCGTAATCCGCCCACGCCAGTCGCTGACTCCATGTAGCTGGGTTGCTGGAGGCGTAGCACATTTTTTTAAAAATTACATTTTAGGCATTTAGCAGACGCTCTTATCCAGAGCGACTTACAGTTAGTGAGTGCATACATTTTTTTCATACTGGTTCCGCGTGGGGAACAAACCCACAACCCTGGCGTTGCAAACGCCATGCTCTACCAACTGAGCTACAGGGGACTCAGCACCCCGTCCAGATCCTGGTTGACGCGCTCCGTCTGCCCATTCGACTGGGGATGGAAGCCGGAAGACAAGCTGACAGAGGCGCTGAGGCAGGTGGCGAATGCCTTCCAGAACCTGGAGGTGAACTGAGGGCCCCGATCCGACACCACATCTTGGGGAAGGCCGTGGACCCGGAAAACGTGCTGCACCACCAACTTAGCCGTCTCCCGGGCCGACGGGAGTTTGAGAAGGGGAATGAAGTGGGCAGCCTTTGAAAACTGGTCCACAACGACCAGGATGACTGTGTATCCATCAGAGGGGGGTAGGGCGGAAATGAAATCCAGCGAGATGTGGGACCAGGGGTGCTTGGGGATAGGCAGGGGTCAGAGCAGCCTCCACTCCCCCAGGGCGAGCTTGACCGCTAGTAGCTCACGGTTCCCCACATCGTAACTCCGCTCCGCCAGGGACAGCCGACGGGAGAAAAACGCACAGAGGTGAGTCTTACCGTCCGTGAAGAACCGCTGGGACAGGATTGCTCCCACCGCAACGTCTGAAGCATCCACCTCCACAATGAACGGCAGGGACGGATCAGGATGCCCTAGGACCGGGGCCCAGCAGGAGATCGATAGCGCAGTCATATGGCCTGTGAGGAGGTAGGCCCTTGGCACGCCTCTTACTAAACACCTCCCCAAGATCCCAATAGTCCCGGGAACGCCTGCCAGGTCTGGGCCGGTGACAGAGTCTGTAGCCACCATCATCCCGGTAGCAACCGCCACTAGGGCGGTAGGCGGTTTGGAGTGCGGGACCTGGGGAAGAGGTGAGGACTGGTAGGTGGTCTGGGACGGTGGTTTGGGCTGATGAGTGGTCGGTGGAGACCGGAACATAGCCACCCGGACACGCACAGAGATAGTGCACCGGGTGATGAAGCCAGACCCCAACGGCTGGCCGTCCAGGCCCATGACCGGAACCGGCTCGGAGAGGGAGAGTAACGGAACGCTCCACCCTTGGGCCAGCTCCGCATCCATCAGGTTTCCCGCGGCCCCCGAATCCACCAGTGCATGCGCCCGACGCGCAGCGCGGGCCCACTGAACCCTGACGGGAAGAAAAGTCCTGTAGTCTCTGGAGTTGGAGTTGGGGTTTCGGGTTCCGGCTCGCTAGCACCCCTCTCGATATTAGCGAGCCCTCCCATTTCCCGGCTTCTCTGGGCATGAGTCGCAGTGGTGACCTGCCTGGCTGCAGTACAGGCAACGTCCCTGGAGCAGACGGCTCTGCTTCTCCATCCTGGACAAGCACGCCGCACCCAGCTGCATAGCCTCCTCCTGAGGCGTCTCCTCCCTGAATCGGCGGAAAGTCTCCGGGCTGATAGGGGGACGCGGAGGCGCGCCTTGCGTCATCCCTCTCTCATGCGTCCTCTCACGACACTGATTGTCTACCCGCACCGAGAGGTCGACGAGGCCGTCCAGACACTCAGGTAGCTCCGTGAAGGAGAGTTCGTCCTTCATCCCCTCCGATAGCCCCTGCGCGTAAAGGACAACCAGGGTGGCCTCCTCCCATCCTGCCTCTCGAGCCCGGGTCCGGAACTCCACGGAGTAGTCCATTCTTAAATGGAAGAAGTTTGGAACCACCAAGACTCTTCCTAGAGCTGGCCGCTCAGCAAAACTGAGCAATCGAGGGAGAAGGGCGTTGGTCAGGGAGGTGACCAAGAACCCGATGGTCACTCTGACAGAGCTCCAGAGTTCCTCTGTGGAGATGGGACAACCATCTCTGCAGCACTCCACCAATCAGGCCTTTATGGTAGAGTGGCCAGACGGAAGCCACTCCTCAGTAAAAGGCTCATGACAGCCTGCTTGGAGTTTGCCAAAAGGCACCTAAAGGACTCTGACCATGAGAAACAAGATTCTCTGGTCTGATGAAACCAAGACTGAACTCTTTGGCCTGAATGCCAAGCGTCACGTCTGGAGGAAACCAGGCACCATCCCTATGGTGAAGTATGGTGGTGGCAAAATCATGCTGTGGTCTCTGAATGTCCTTGAGTGGCCCAGACAGAGCCCGGACTTGAACCCGATCAAACATCTCTGGAGAGACCTGAAAATAGCTGTGCAGCGACGCTCCCCATCCAACCTGACAGAGCATTTAGACGGCAATGCCCAGGAGCAATTTGGTTTAAGTGCCTTGCTTAAGTGCACATCAACAGATTTTTCACCTAGTTGGCTCAGAGATTCTAACCATCGACCTTTAGGTTACTGGCCCAACGCTCTTAACCGCTAGGCTACCTACCGCCCTGTAACAGCATGTCAACATGCCACCAACAACAGCATGAAATATCATACATACTTAATCGTGCACATCTATTCTGGTATAATGTAATTATGTCCAATGAGACATCCAGCAGCCTCTGACAGCTTCTCCAACCCCAAATGTCTTTAGGTCGACTCCACCACATCCTTACAGTGGCATTTCCAGGCCTGACTGACACTCATCTATGTGGTTGTGTGAAAGGTGTGGAGGATCCACATAGATCGCTCACACATGTTCAGAAACACAGGCCCTCCACACCCAAAGTCTCAGAGAACAGAGAAAAAGCAGGCCAAAAATATCCCCTGACCCCATCCCCCACCCTAAGTTGCTCAATGCTGCTCTGCTCATGCTCATTATTTCCTAGTTCAGCACAGATCCACCCAGAGATAAATAACAGTGATTACAGACATGTGCCCTTCCCTTTTCTCACTTCCCTTCTCTTTTTATGTCTCTCATCATCATCACCCAGGTAGCCACTCAGCCAGCCTCTGTCTCTGGTCAATGAGAGGGAGAGAGAAGCCTCCAACATGGCTGCCTGCTGCACACAAATCATTATACCAATGGAAGAGACAAACACTGACACACAGGTCTAGTCTGGTGCTCTAGTCCTAGGAGTGAATAGGGTGAAAAATGAGGTGTTCTTCCTCAGAAGAGAGAGCTCCCCGCCCTGATAACCTCTAACCATGGTAACCATAGACACATTCCTTTGGCTTCACACTCACTCAGTAGATCACTCTAAACACACACACACACACACACACACTCACTAAGATTCACACAACACACACACACGCTCATGCAAACACACACAGATTCACACAAGTATGCACACAGTGCTAATCTAGTTTTTCAAAAGTATCTTTAATCTGATTACAATCTTTTTGCTGGTAGCGTAACTGCTGACGCAAACGCACACAGATTCACACAAGCAAGCACACAGTGGCCAACCAATTCTAAGTTTCCACCGTACAGTAGAGGTGATGGTCAGTCATTGGTGACCTTTGTCTAGTTTAATGTCAGCCGAACTACTAGGGTCAGCTCTCAGGGGGACAGGAGTACACATCTCTACAGAGCACAACAGAACATGTTCAACTAGACTGAGTACAGGTTTCTCTCAAGTGATCAGCATCAAAGCCCACAACGACACAAAGGCAGCATGTATCTCTCCGTCAGTGTGTGAAAGAGTGTTTGTGTCTGTATGAGTCAGCCTGTATAAAGCACAGGGCCCAAGACAAGCAGAGCATGAAGAGGCCTCCATATGTACTCCACAGCTGTTCATAGAGTGGAACACGCATACACACACTTTCACAAAGACACACCTACTTACTGTATGTCAGACACACCTTAGAATAAAGGATATGGGAAAACTTTCCACATGTGCTTTAGGTTATGAATCCGATCCAACACCTGCCCCTTAGGCAGTGAAAAGCAAGGAGCGGTATGGATGTGTGTGTGTGTGCCGAAACTAACTGCGCTACAGGCTAATTTAAATATAGCCCCACCCCTCAGAGAGAAAGCGCTGTTGACACCAAGGCCCACAACTATTATTGTACAATCGCTGAGAAAGAAAAGAAAGAAAGAAAGAAAGAAAGAAAGAAAGAAAGAAAGAAAGAAAGAAAGAAAGAAAGAAAGAAAGAAAGAAAGAAAGAAAGAAAGAAAGAAAGAAAGAAAGAAAGAAAGAAAGAAAGAAAGAAAGAAAGAAAGAAAGAAAGAAAGAAAGAAAGAAAGAAAGAAAGCGATTGAGTATCCCTTGTCACTGAGTAGTCACATGGAAGAGAGGAGAACAATGAGGAACAAAGGCCAGTGTACAGCACACACACCCTCAAAGATGACGCACACACACACACACACACACACACACACACACACACACTGAGTTTCAAACACATTCTCGTTCTCTATGAAACACAAACACAAAAACAAACTCTCTCCCTCTCTGTTCTCTCCCTTATCCTCACTCACAGGAAAACACACACTGTCCTTGACACACCAACACCCAGTATCAGTGTAAGTAACGCCCCAGCTCCCTGAAGTAGACAGCGTGATAATGAGTAACACTCTGGCAGTCTGGACAGTGGGCAGTGCCCAAGTGACGTGCACGGCTCTGCCTGCTGTGCCACTCTACCACTGGGCAGAGACTGAGACAGTAACAGGCTGGCACCAACCACCCTGGTCCCATCTGTACTTTGGGGAGACTCATTGTTATAATGACCACATGTATTCATGCCCTCTGGGTTCCTCTTGCTTTGCACCACAGAGACACTAATTGCTGCTCCTATCAATAATGTAGAACAACACTGTCTGTCACAATGGGCGCCCACATATTTATGTCGTCCTCCCGCTTGCTTTGTTTGTTAGACTTGACACTCATTACCGGCTTTGTTGGTTCTGTCCGTCTTGTCAGGCCGTCTGTTTTATGACCATTCTGCCCCAGGTGGGACAGCGATAACGCTGTAATAAAACTGTTGATTAAACTTTCTTTTGTCTTCTCTAACATCCTTTTTTACATCCCTCATTCCCTCTATTCTTCTTCTGTCCCTCCATCGTTCAGATCAGCTCCACAAGTGAGAGAGATAAGACTAATAAAACAGCCAATTAGGTCAAATCATCATCATCATCATCATCATCCGCATCCAGCAGGGTTCTGACAAGCTAACTGCCCCACTTGGAGCAGGTGCTGGAGGTCAAAGAACAGGCTCAGCAAAAAATAAAAGAAGACTCAAGAGTCTAGAAACATCATGGTACAGAGCAAGCAGCCTAGGAGTTTCTAACTTCCTGATGTCTGAGGAGGAGAAAGACAAGATGCTGTCACATTCGGACACTCTAAACACAGACACAAAAAACCCACAAAACTGCATCCTGCAGTAGGCCATATCTAAGCAGATGTGTTCACATGCAGAAGTGATTAGCCGTAGCTTTGTCCTCCAGCAGAGCTGCACTCACTGACTGACTGACTGACTGACTGACTGACTGACTGACTGACTGACTGACTGACTGACTGCAGTAGAGAACAGGGAGTGGTCACAGGCCCTGGAGGAAATAAGATCTGTGATCTCAAGCCTCCACATGCTGCCCTAAAAAGGACTTTAATTCCTGGAGAACTTTTCCAACAGGACCACACCTCAGACTGGAGCGGATTAACCTTTATGGTCTGTGACAAAGTAGTAAAGAGGTTTGAACAAGAACATAACCTCAACGGAACATCAAAAAAACTAGAAAGGTCCCTGTGTGTGGAGGTAGAGGCAGGTTTTTTCTCCTGTTTCACAGTCTGTATAGCTGTGTGTGTGTGTGTATGTGTGTATGTGTGTGTGTGTTTTACTATACTTGTGTGGACCAGAAGTCCTGAGGACATTTCGTTAGTCCCCACAAAGTCAAATTCTATTTCCATGGGGTTTAGGGTTAAGGTTAGAATTAGTGTTAGGGTTAGAATTAGGGTTAGGAGCTAGGGTTAGTTTAAGGGTTAGGAGCCAGGGTTAAGTTTAGGGTTAGGCTTAAGGTTAGGTTAGGTTTTGGGGTTAGGGTTAGGGTTAGGTAAGGGTTAGGGAAAATAGGATTTTGAATGGGACTGAATTGTGTGTCTTCACAAGGTTAGTTATACAAGACTGTGTGTGTGTGTATGTGTGTGTGTGTCGCGGTTTGTTCTCTCACACAGAGGAGGGGGCCAGGCTGCTGCAGCCTCTCTAGACAGCCTGGTCTCATAGACTAGACGTAACATAGTAAATGTACATCCGAGACACTCAAAATAGTATGATACTGTATGTTACGTTTGACATGGTTACGAAAGTAGGTTGGTTGGTTGGTCGGTCAGGTGGATGGGGGAGGTATAACGCAAACGTCTAGCAACCCAAAGGTTACATATTCAAATCTCATCACGGACAACTTTAGAATGTTCGGTAATAACCATTTTGCGACTACTTACTACTTTTTAGCTACTTTGCAACTACTTAGCATGTTAGCTAACCATTCCTCTCACCTTAAACTTAACCCTTTAACCTAACTCCTGACCTTAACTTTAACCCTAGCCTTAATCCTAACCTTAATCCCTAATCCTAACCTCTAGCCTAGCTAATGTTAGCCACCTCGCTAACGTTAGCCACAACAAATTGGAATTGGTAACATATCATACAAATTGTAATTCGGAACATATACCAAATGGATGATGGACATCCACAAATTAATACATACCATACGAAATGTAACTTATCATACAATTTGGCACATCCCGGATTTACGTTTAATATGTTATGTCTACCCTTGAGTCCAGGTTGGACACACAGCTTGTTAATTAGACTGAGCGGTTGCCTGGTTTTCCAGCAAATGGAGCGCAGAAACAACTCATGAATAATGCATTTCACAGCACATTAATTTGGCAAATATTTCTCTGAACAAATCCCAAACACATGTGACCGGTCGGCAGCGCCTCTTTGAAAATATCCCCTCTGTCTGTCTGTGGTAGGACTATTCAGATGCTAATGACTTAGCAGGAGGCATCATAAACTGTGGTAATAAGCTGTTTCAGCCACTAATATAGAAGAACACTTCACTGCTACAGACATCAATATCAACTCATTATACTGATTGGCTTACTGAAGCCTTAAATCCTCCAGGTTTGTGGGTTTATTTGCCGCAAGAATGACAACATCTTTTATATTAAATCTGTTTTAGTGGTTAGTTAATGGTGTGGACACCTGTGTCTCTAAGGCTCTGTGAAATGACAAGGCATATGCCAGCCAGGCATTGTTGAGCAACATCTCACTCGGTTTAAAAGATGCAGAGTAACCACCCAGTTGGATTACATACACTCAGCAAAAAAAGAAACGTCCCTTTTTCAGGACCCTGTCTTTCAAAGATAATTTGTAAAAATCCAAATAACTTCACAGATCTTCATTGTAAAGGGTTTAAACACTGTTTCCCATGCTTGTTCAATGAACCATAAACAATTAATGAACATGCACCTGTGGACCGGTCGTTAAAACACTAACAGCTTACAGACGGTAGGCAATTAAGGTCACAGTTATGAAAACTTAGGACACTAAAGACACCTTTCTACTGACTCTGAAAAACACCAAAAGAAAGATGCCCAGGGTCCCCGCTCATCTGCGTGAACGGGTCTTAGGCATGCTGCAAGGAGGCATGAGGACTGCAGATGTGGCCAGGGCAATAAATTGCAATGTCCGTACTGTGAGACGCCTAAGACAGCGCTACAGGGAGACAGGACGGACAGCTGATTGTCCTCACAGAGGCAGACCACATGTAACAACACCTGCACAGGATCGGTACATCCGAACATCACACCTGCGGGACAGGTACAGGATGGCAACAACAACTGCCCGAGTTACACCAGGAACGCACAATCCCTCCATTACATTTTACATTTTAGTCATTTAGCAGACACTCTTATCCAGAGCGACTTAATTAGTGAGTGCATACTGGCCCCCCGTGGGAATCGAACCCACAACCCTGGCGTTGCAAGCGCCATGCTCTACCAACTGAG